AACTTCAACCAAAGTTTGCACATGCTAATTTGGTGTAACTGTTGAAATCCCTTGAAGCATAAAGCCCCAGCATATAGAGGTTTGGCAGCTTTCTGCCAGCTTACCCAGATCCTATTTTTCCTGTTCCCAGACCACAAGAATCTGTTGAAGGTTCTTTCCAACATAACTTGAGTGCTTTTCTTCATCACTGCCACTTGTAAGGTGTAAAGGGGAAGGTGGTTAAGATGCTTTTTAGCAAGGTAATTCTGCCTCCATTAGACAGGAAGGAATTTGCCCACCCTTGGAGGGTAGCAATGGTTTTATCCACTATCTCATTAAATTGTATTTGTTTGTTCCTTCCCTTAGTAAGATAAACCCCCAAATATTTAAAGGGGGTATCCATTGCTTTGAAACTAGTGAGCTCTAAAATCCACTGTTTGCAGGCTATGGAGCAATTCTTGCTGAAGAGAATGTGGCTTTTATCTTTGTTCACTTCAAGGCCAGAAGCTTGCTAGAACTCTTGCAAATCTGCATACAGATGTTTGATATCATTCTTATTAGCTCTGGAGAAAATTAAGATGTCAACAGCATAAATCAGATGGTTGATGTCTTGTTTAGATCTGTTGAGATAAGTGTTGTAATCTTTTCTGTTGCCAGGTTTATCTATGATTTTAGACAGATAGTCCAGAGCCCATATGAAAATGGTTGGAGATAAAGGGTGCCCTTGTCTCAAACCCCTGTTAGCCTTAAAAAAACCATGGGTTTTCCCATTAATTAAAACACTGTTAACATTTCCTTCATGCCATCTTTGGATGATTTTACAGGAGTCTTTTGTAAAACCCCTAGCCTTCATAATCTCCTTGATGAAGTTCCAATTGATCATATCATAAGCCTTCTTTAGATCCAGTTTAAATATCATGTTGCTCCCTCTGCAAGGTTTATCTAGATCCAATAGAAGCTCTTGGGCTATCTTAATGTTGTCCCCTATGTTTCTCCCTTTCACAAAGGCTGCTTGTTTGGGGCTAATGAGATTTTGAAGAATGGGTTGGATTCTAAAAACCAGAATTTTGCTAATGATCTTACTAATAATGTTAGTAAGACTAATAGTTCTGTAGCTACTCCAATACTCTTTTACTGATGATTTAGGGACAAATATAATGGTAGCAGTATTGAAATAGTCTGGTAAAGGTTGTCCCATGAAGTGGTGCTGTATAGCTTCAACAATCTGTACTTTGATGACCTGCCAAGCCTTCTTATAGAAATCAACAGTGAAACCATCAGGACCTGCTGATTTGGCACTATCAATAGAGAAGAGAGCTCATTTTATTTCTTCCTCTCCATGAATTTCAGCTAGCTTTATCTTGGAACAAATATCCTTCTCATCTTGGAACAATTCTGATTCCACATGCTGTCTTTCAGTTAATTCACAATGCATCAGGTCTTTACAGTAGGCCATAACACTGTCAGCAATCCCTTGAGCATCTCTGATCCAATTTCCTTGATTGTCTTGGATAGAGTGAATGGTGTTGCATTTTCTTTGATACTTGATGCAGGAATGATAAAATTTAGTGTTTCTGTCACCATCCATGAACTTGTTCTTTGCTCCCTTCTGTTTCAGGAATTGTTCTTGCCATTCTACAGCATTCAATAACTTTTTATTGGCTTCGAGAAGGAATGAATCTCCCACCTGACCCTTGCTGTGTCCTTCCTCCAGAAGTTGGAGCTCTTTCTTAGCCTGTTCCACTCTAGTCAAAATATTCCCAAATGTGCTCCAATTCCAATTACTAAGAGCTTTAGCAGTCTTTTTCTATAGATTCCACAGCTTGATTAGGGGGTTTTTGTAATCACAACCCTTCCAATTCTCCTTAACAATATGTATGAAATCTCTGTTACTTGACCAAACATTAAGATATCTGAAGGGAGGTCTACTGTTGTGTTCATTGGCTGAGATGGAAATTAACATAGGTCTGTGATCAGACCTTGCCAAACTAAGGTGAGTGACATCAGCTTGCAAATAATTCTGAATCCAGCTGTCATTAGCCAATAACCTATCCAATCTCTCCCAAATTTTTCCCCTTCTCCAAGTGAACTCCGATCCATTGAATCCCAAATCAAACAGCCCAGCAGAATTGATGTTGTCATTGAATTCAGTCATCTTATTAGTAGAAGGATTTCTTCCTCCCCTTTTTGCAGCAGGTGAAGCAATGCAGTTGAAATCTCCTCCAACAATCCAGGCAGTGTTTGTCAAGCTTCTAATTTGGTGGAGCTCCTTCCACAGTTCAATTCTTGCTGATTTGTAGGATCCAGCATAAACAAAAGTGGCTTGGCCAACCTGATCTTCCATGTTAAAAGAGCAAAGTATGAATTGTGAATGATTGAGCAAAATCTTACAGTTCATTTCAATTCTACTTCAAATCCAGATTTTGTTATTCAGATTAGTGTTAAAAGAGAACCCTGGGAAGGCTTTGGCATATTTATGAATATTTTGATGAACCAAAGGTTCCAGGATAACCAAGCACCAACACTTGTACTTCTTATTTAAATACTTTAATCTTTTTAAGGAAGGAAGATCAGCAATCACCCTTATATTCCAACATGTCAAATTAATCATGTTGTTGGGGGTATGGGAAGAGGGTTGGGACCTAGATCTTGTCCTTCTCATGGTTGTGTGAGAATTATTTATCTTTTGCTCCTTCTGCTGTTCTCCATTCTTTATTTAAATGTCTTCTCTGAGCTTCTTCTTCCTTTTTTTCTGTTGTGTTTGACATTCACTTTCCATTGAGTATTGTATCTCTTGTATCATCTACTCTGAAAGTGTGCACTTCATTTTACTGCTTGATACCCCCTCCATATTTCCTTTGTTTTGTGGGACTTGTCCCACATTCTCTGTTTCTTTTCTTGGGTGATTGTTGACTTCATTGTCCCGAACTAGTTCAACATCTGTAGTTTTGTCATTGGTCTGTTTATCTGCCTCTTTTTCTGTTGGGCTTGGCTGTGCGAGAGATCCTACAGGTTGGGCTTCTCCTTCATACACCCTTGGATCACCCCATGGTTCCTCAGCATTATTTGCTGTGAATTTGGCTAAGTTTTTTCTCCTTCTTACTTGTTGTATTTCTCCTTCCTGATTCAGACTAAAATTTGCCTCCTCAGCAACTTTTGAAATAGGATTTGTTGGTAGTCTTTTGGTAGGTGGGTGTAGTCTGTAACATTTTTCCTTGGTATGTCAAAAAATTTTGCAATGTTGGAAATAGAAAGGTTTTTGTTCCATGACTACCACCTGCCAGAATCCTTCTGCTTCATCACCAATCCACACTCTTTTTAGCTCAGGCAATGTGATGTTCCTTTCTATGAGAATTCTTGCACTTGCTGCTCTTGCTTTGTTGTAGGTGGGTGCATCCACTTTAAGAGGAGTGTCAATAGCACTACCTATTTTGAATAGGGCATTTAGATTAAATAGGTGGAGTGGAAGTCCTCGTAGTTTGAACCAGATTGGAACCACAGGAGGTTCCTTTGAAGGATCAAAGTCTGGTGTCCATTTTAAAATCTTCATGTCAGCTCCAGCAATTCTAACTGTCTGTTTTGCAAAAACTCTAGCATAGTCTTCCTTTAAGGTAAGTTGAATTAGAAGGTGTCTTCCATCAACCAAACCCAGCTTCTATGGACCTAGAAACTAAAGTGAGTCAAAGAAACCCCTCACCATCTCCATTTTGGAGTGACACAAACTGAATTTGCCAATCAGAGTAAATTGAACTTCTTTGTTAAGGATATTTAGTTCCTGATTTGAGAAGAACATAGAAGGTTCCCCTTCCTTAAGGCCAATAGGGTGAATGCAAGGTGAGGTGCCTTTTCCTGCAGCAGTGTCATGGAACTCTTGTGGGAACACAAGTCTTTCCATATCCTATAGTGAATCCACATTCTTCCCAACCACTCCTGCATAAGTGGCTCTAGTCCACTATGCATTAGTCTCCAAGTCAATAGAGGATTCCATGAACCCCACTTTCTGACAAGATAAAGACCAGGACCAAAAGAGTGATCCCGGGTGAGCCAAACAACTCATAGAGATCCCAAGTAAACTCCTGCTGCTTAGGGCTCCCACCCCTAAGCACTCAACAGACCAGTGACTTCAGATATCAGCAAACTTTAATGGAACAGTAATAAAGCAGCAGACTTCAATGGAACAGTAACTTACAGGGGTTAAGCCCCTTAGTCCGGGTAGGTAGAAAAGTCTCTCCAAGAGAAAGAAAAGGTTGAGAAGGACTCTCCCACCCAACCCCAATAGGGTCTTCCTCAGGAAGCACTCACCAAGCTCCATCCTCCTAGCAGAAACCCTAGCAGAGCAAATCCAGCCGCCACCATCTTTATATATATATATATATACATATATATATATATAT